ATCATCACAAAGGATGTTTCAAGATCTGTCCTGAAGTACAATGTTGTCAGTGATAGGATAATATCCATATGCCTACAAGGAAGACCCATTAATACAACTATTATTCAAATGTATGCACCAACCACCAAAGCCAAAGATGAGGAAATTGAAGATTTTTATCAACTTCTGCAGTCTGAAATTGACCAAACTTGAAATCAAGATGTGTTAATTATCACTGGTGACTGGAATGCAAAAGGAGTGAAGGCAGAGGGATTTAAAATCAATTAGACATGGTTCTGATCCTAAGGCACTTGACTGCTAACCAGAAGGCTGGTGGTTCAAATCACCAGCCACTCCTCAAAAGGAAGGTTGGGCAATCTACTTCCATAGTGATACTGCCTCGGCAACCCAAGAAGGGGTCACTATGAGTTGGGTCTGACTCGACGGCACATAACAACAATAACATCAATGCAGTTAAGTGCTAGGTATTGGGATAGGTTTGAAATAAGATATTGTGATATTACATATCACCTTTAAACATTACAATGTACCCGTGTTTTAGTAGTTACTACTTTCATTTTAAATATAAGCAAAACAAAGTTCAGAGAACTGATTTGACATTGGTATACATCTTGCATAAGGCATGTTGAGATTTATAACTAAGTCAATCTGGCTCTCTGTTGCATGTGATTTCCCTTGTACCATAAGGTCTCCACAAAATGCAGCTTATTTGGTGAAGGAAATCTTCATATGTGGGAAAGGCTTAAAATTACACACACAAATTGGGAACATGAAGGATAATGAACTCTGCTTGGAGATTCTAGGAAGCTTCGAGAGGGAGCTGATATTTGATGTGGCTCTTGAATGATGATTGGAGTTTGCCAGATAGAAGGAAGGCAAGCCATGCAGACATGGCAATAGGAGGTGGAAAGTTCCAGAGGTATGAAATGGCATGGCACATGGCATAGGGGGAAGTGACAGATGAGAAGGAAACTGGAAATCAGAGCCTTATACATGACACAAAAGGTTTTATTCTATGGGTAAGCAAGACATCAAATGTTATTTGGAAGGTCAGGATATGGTCTGACAGGTGATAGAGAAAAGGCAGGCTGCAAAAGATGAAGATAGAGAAAAGACACTGGAAAAAGTGGCTGGGTAGGATGTTTTCTTAGAAAAGTAAGGAGACATTTATCAAAAAGAGCAGATTATAAAGAAAGGTTGAGTGGAATAGCCAGAACTTGTCAACTCAGTTTTAATAACTTAGAGAGTAGAAAAAGTTAGAAATTAACATTGATGAAGTCCTTTCTGTATACTAGGTATGTGCCTAGCCTTAACACAAGCTATCTCACTGAAACCACATAACAAGCCTATGACAGTGGTGTTTTTATTATTCCCATGGTACAGACGAAAAGAGTTATTCACGGAAGATTCAAAAACAGCCAGTGAAATATAGAAATGTGAACCCAGGCAGACTGCACTGCCTTTATTTCTCACTATTGCATTATACATCTCTCTGGAGCAGACTGAGGGTTTCATGACCTAAGACAGGGATTGCAAAAAGATAAAAAGAGCAATAGGAGGGGAATTGCTGAGATAAGTTTTGTACATTTTGAGTTTGAATTCCCTGTAAGACATTCAGGAGCTTTCATGTTGCAGTGTTTAAGTGCTTGACTGCCAACCAAAAGGTTGATCATTCGAAATCACCACCCACTTTGCAGGAGAAAGGTGTGGTAGTCTGTTTCATAAAAATTCTTCCTTGGTAACCCTCTGTCCTATAGGACTTCTATGAGTCAGAACTGAATTGACAGCAACCAGTTTGGTTTGGGTTTCAGAGGACATTTAGGTGGAAGCATCTGACTAAGAAATTGGAAAGAGAGAAAAAAAAATGGAACTAATGATATAGAAATCATTGCTATATAGGTAATGATTGATGCTGAGAGACAACATGAGATTGCTCAGAAGGGGGATATAAAAAATAGACTATAAACACCGATCTCCCCATTGACAATAGATAACATATACAAACATAAAACCTCAAACCACACAAATACCATAAACTCAAGTAGTCTTTATTTCTGATACCTTTTGTGACTTTTTCTTCTAGTGTGAGGAAGATTGAAATGACTGACTTTTCAATACCATTGTTTTATTGAAGTGTGAAGAATTGTTCTCCCAAAACACTAGCTCCAGTAAGTTTTGAGTTTTCCTAGAAAATTATCATTACTGATGTTCACAAATCCTGTCAAAAAATTGGACCTTTAAGCAGTCAAGTTTGAAAAGTACTGGGAATGAATATGTTTTCAACAAAGTAGAACAATATTGTCAAAATTAGAAGCAATATTATAGTTAGTTTCTTCCAAGCTCATTCCCTTTTCTTCCAGGTCCTCTTTTCCCCCACCCTCTCTCTCTTGCTGCAAGCTGCCTTTTCCAGGTGTACTACAGAGAGGAATCCCAAGTGACAACAAAACAGCCTGAGTGAGAGAAAAATGTCACTTTAGAGACACACTCTAGCAGTTTAACTGAGAGAACCTCAGTAATATCTGCTCACTGCCAGCACTCCAAAGTGCAATTGTTGGTGTGGAAAAGAAGGAGTGGGGCCAGGTGCTCACGTGAGCACCGTTCAGCAAGCAGTGCTTCCCAGCTTCCAAATAGCAGGCAGAATTCCTCTAATAACCATCCAGCAGTTACAGAGACTCCATCCGGAATGACAGAGTAGTTCAAGGCATGACTGGTTAAATGCTTTACTTTATCATTTTCTCCCCCCTCTACTGTGCAGCCTGCATGGGAGATACGCATCTCCTGGCAAGCAGATGAGAGGGGGGTGTTTACAAAGTACTGGGTTTCCTTTATCAGGTTATCTCACAAAGGAAAACTGAGCAGCGCTAAGGGAAGAATTTAAAGAGCAGCTCAAAGGTCCCTGGTGATTCTACTGTATTTTATAAAACTGTTTGCGTTTATCTTTTTGGTCATGGGCAAGTTCTATTGGCACAAACAGCACAGTCACAAAGTATTCTTTTGATTTTAATAACTCATAATATATATATGCATATATATTTATATTTCTGCTTATCTTCATTTCCTCAGCAAAAAGGGGAAATAAAAATAGTGATTTATAAAATAAGCGGATGATAACACAATGCCAACAATAGCTTATGTTAAGTGCAAGAAGTGAAGCTTGAAAGCAAGCTAAATTGCAACAACTTATTGATTTACCAGTTTAAATACAAGACTGGGAATAAAATAATTCTTCTCGAGATATGCTTCTCATTTTTAGTTAACCTTTTCAAAACTACTCTATATACACATATCCAGTTGTAACACTTGACAGTAGCATTATGGGGCATGATATAACTTTGGTACACATTGCAAATGGATGGTTAATGTCTGTAAATAATATTCCCTCACCAGTTAGTGCACTGTACAGCCAGGTGACCAGCCACCTGTTCCCATATCCTATCCCAGAGTCCTTCCCAGATCCATCGGAGAGAGCAGGAGAAACCATGGTCACTGGATCCATATTGTGTTTCCTCTCTCGGTTCTCCTGGGTTCCACTGTTAGCTCCCCAAACGTGGAAAAAAACTGCTCCATTTCTTTCTGTAGCATGTCGTTTCTTTTCTCTGCATCTTCTTTTGCTCGCTCGGCATTTCGCATTTTGATTTCTATCATTGTGAACTTTTTCCTTTCTTGATCCAGTTCATCGTGTAGGCTCATCATTTCTGTTTCCAAAGTCAAGTTTCGCTGTTCTAAGCTGCAAAAGGTAGAAGGGGTGGATAAGAGATAAAGCAATTTTATTCACTTGAGACGTGAGAGGGACACAAATATTTTTTCTAAACTATATCTCTACACTGCTTGGGAACATTGAATTTTTGTTGTTGTTAGGTGCCATGGAGAAGGCTCTGACTCAAAATGACCCTATGTCCAACAGAAAAAACACCACCTGGTCATGTGCCATCCTAATAATCTTTGCAATGCTTGAGCTCCTTCAAGTAAGTCAAGCAAGGTCCAATTATTTAAAGGATGT